CGTCGTTGTCGTTGCTTAGCTCGCGATTTTTAAGGTAACTACATTCATCTCTCTTACCGACACCTTTCATGTTTTACTCCATACCATGCCTTCTTCATTTTAAATAGGCTCTTTACAGTAAGTCACTTTTTGTGACACAAACCTGCCATGCTGGAGAACGAGGCCCTACGCACTGAGTCAAGCCAAACAAAGAGCTAACATCATTTAAAATGATTCCTCTGTTTATTGTTTGCCATGTCCCTTTGCTTTGCTTGCCTTCCAGCATGGCATGAGCAACTAGAGTTTCGCGGTGAACCATGTTGAAGTGAGGTGATTCAGCTGGCTATAACTTCAACCGTTTTTACGATCAATCCAACCGTAAAAATTGCCTCTGCTGAGCTTGAATCTGCCTAAACCTGTTACGAGGCATTCATAGGATTCGTTATAATCCATTTAAAAAATAAGACACAAAAAAACTGATGGGCGCATTATGATATTTTTCTCCCCATCAATGTAATACAGACAGGGCAAACGAAGAACATACTCACTGGCGTATTTTATAGAAAAACATTCACGTGGCTGACTTCTGTTCTTTGAATCGATGTGTTGTACGAACAGACCGGCGTCACTGCTGGCATTGAGGTGTTTTTCAAGGTGCTGCCAGGTCGTATCTTGTACTTCTCCCCCATTCTTAATCGAGCAGTTCAAAGTCACTTTAGAGTGTTTGGGCGTTACTGTTATCGTCTGTAAAGGCGGTTGGCATTTCTGTGCACTTATTTCACAGTCTAGGTTCCCTGTGGTTGACACATCTATCGCGTAAAAAAGGAAAGAATAAAAAGGGAAGTTCTTTATTTCATCAAACGTTAGCAATTTAGGCTTCTGGGAAACTGCCCACCTACCCCTCCCTTAAGCCCTCATTTTGCCCTAAGCGAGAAGTAAGTGTTAATGTTAGCTTAGGGGAGGGGTAGGTGGACAGTTTTCCAGAAGCCTAAATTGATCCAAACTTTCATTAACCAACACAAACCTCTTCATGAACTCTTGACAAACCTACTACAGGGCACCCAACCAAGGTTTCCTCCTAAATACCTTGAAAACATTTTTTAGGCTATCCAGAGTACTTTTACATCTCTAGAAATGCAGTAACTCTTGGCAAACCTACTATCCGAGTGAAAGTCACTATCCCAGACCATGTAATATGTTTTTTTGGCAGGTTATTGTTCTTTGTTAAAGTAATGGGCTTGTCAAAAGATAGCTTTGCAATGGCTGATTTGACACTCAGTCTTATCAGCAAATGATCGGAATAATTAATCCTACTGATGGTTGAAAATAAGCAATGATTATTATATTAAAAGTTAATATTTGAAATATTTAATTTAAAAAGGAATCAATAATTAAATTCAAGTAGCTTTTGCAATAATGTAATACTTTGTTATAGTTTGTAGTTTTGTTTATAGTTTATAGTTTTTCGTCATGATCAGTAATAAACATTAATGAATTATTTGGTTTCCTTAATTTCCGAGGCATCATACACGGATGGTGTTTTAGTCAAGGCAAGAATTCACGAAACAACAAGGAATTAGCTTCTGGATTGAAAACAAAATTATTTGCGCCTATGAACTCTCCACCAAAAAATCGTGAACCATCACATTCCTTTGATCACACATAATGCACATTTAGCCGAATTTTTGAAAACTTTCCTCAGAAAGGCCCAGAATATCCCCAGCGGTGAGAATTTTCATAGGAGACTTGCCGTCTTGGTTGGTCTCATCGTCAAGTTCAGACCCTGAGCTAACTTCCTAAGGGGTGTGAACAGGCCTCCATATCTATCCCTAGGTGGAGCGTGTGCTGCAAAGTGAGTGTGATAGCGATTTCTGTGTCGGAGTGACGCTACTCCGCCCCGATGCTGACCGCTCCAGAAAATACCATAACATACCATAATGCTCTTTGTTTGTCAACCCAAAATTTTAAATAAGCATTGTCTTCAGTTTCTCTTGGGAGTTAAAATGGCCCCAAGAGAAACTGAAAACAATGCTTATGCAAAATTTTGAGTTGACAAACAAAGAGCATTATGGTATGTTGGCGGAGCTCCACTCGCGGCGGAGCCCCATAGCTTAGTAAATCTACCCATCCCAGAAAATTTGGTAATCACGTGACCGTACACCGACCACCGACCACCGACCGCCGACCGCCAGGCGGTGTGCGTCACGAGATTTAACCAATCAGAATGCGTTATTTTCGGAGTAGATTTCGTGCTCGAGAAGAGCAGTTTTGAGAGGTACACGAGTTGAGATTTTCGTCGTTTTTGAAGATTGTAATCATTTTTTCTTAATCAAAATTCGCTATAAAGTTAGCGAATTAATTTATCTTAGTGCTGGTGCAGTTATTTTTTAAGAAGAAACGTTTATTCGGCTTTGCGACCATTTCAAAGGTGACGGTCTCGTGTGAGACGCCATGTTGTTTTGGTTGTAAATTTCACTGCTTTTCTTGGACTTGTAGCTCCTTACTGTTATTGATTGTTGTCAATATTTTCGGTCCGTTAGTGAGTTTAAGTAGTCTTCTTTGACAATTTCGGGGTCTACCTGGGTCTACCCCGTCGGGTTTTCCCGCTAGAGGCCGTGGAGGACACACTGGTATGAAGAGATCGACCCAGCCAAGTGGCTCCACTCCCGGGAAACCGGCTGGTAAAGTCAACAGAACTGGAGGTCAAAATAACATCAAATCGAGAAAGAATTTGTTTAATTTCAAGCCAGAAAAGGTAAAAAGAGTCGAATTACACGAATTCCTTCTGATTTTGTATTTGAGTCAGTTAAATGGTCTTTTATAAGATACTTATTTGTCATTATTGAAGAATGTTTTTCACGTGTGAATAAATTATACATGTACAAATGTAGCCTCCAACAAGAGATTGGCCAGTATCCATAGATTGTGGATTAGAATCCATTATTTCTTGTAGTTTTACTCAGATAACATTAGCAGTAATTTTATGTTTTCACACTCGCACTGTGATGAAATGAAACATTTGACAAAATTTTAAAAAAAAAAAAAATCATAAAATAAAGTGTGGCTTTAGAGATGTTACACCAGCCACCTCCACCACAGGGTTTATCAAGGATGTCTTTTTGTTTGTGTGTTTATATGTAGGTTTACTTATGTTACCATTTATTTAATATCTTCAAGGTCCCTCATCCACCTCAGTCCCCAGTTTGGTCTGTGGAGGAAAGGCGAGCATTGGTTGAGTATATTGCTCTATTTACCCCAGTGGAACAAGATCAATTGTTTAAATGGCCTTCTTTCAAAGACATCAATTTCTGGGAAAAATGTGCAGATGCTCTGGCCTGTACAACTGGAATGCCACGACGATCAGGTAAACATATTTCACTCCAGGCCGTAGTAGGGCATAATTTTTTGGTCGGCAGGATAATAATTATATGCAAGAGGTTTGTCCCCTAGTGGCGGTGGTGATAATGATGATGATATTGATGATGTCTGGGTTGTTTGCTCTTAGTCATTCAAAACATCAGCTTTTGAATACATTGATAGTGTGCGATCTCCTACACAACTCAACTAGTTATTTTATACAATGTAATAACTCTGTAATGAAGAGATTATAACATAGTGGAGCAGGCCTGATAGTGGTTTGTCTTAAAATAGGGTGGAGGGAAGGTAGCAGTTGCTGAAGGTTTTAGTTCAAAAGGAACTTACAGTGGCTTACAGTAAGTGAGGTGAAACAAACCGATTTATATTTTCTTTTCTTTTTCAGGGAGTGCATGCCGTTATCAGGTCAACTCCTTCCTGCGTAAAAGGTATGCAACACTGGAGGAAGCAGAAGATGACCTCCAGGTCAACTATTTTAGTGGTGGATTGCAAGACATTCATTATGAAAATTCATCAACACTAACATCTCCTGGGAATGTAAATTCGACTCCACAGGCGATGCTTGAGAAGAACACCCCATTATCTCCAATATTGGCGCACTCTCCACATGCCAATTCAACAAACCATGAGACATACAATCATGGAGATACCATTGCCAAGGTTATTAAACTGTTGACATTGATGACTTCGCGTATGAGAGGGACTTGATCCAGAACTTATTTTGGCAGTTCATGTTTTTAGAACTTGATCATGATTTTCGAGCATTTATTCCTTCTGACTTTATTAAACTATGCTGCAAGGGCATTAATGTACTTCATAGCAATGGCAAAGAAAATGTTCTTTATTACTTGGCCAGGGACTTGGAATGTCACGGAAAGATGGTTCAGGTCCACGGCTCCCTATTGACAAGATGCCGTTTGGATTATTAAGCTACAATATTCGCTATTTTGCTATGGACACTGTGAACAACATTTCATCAGACCCCCATTTTGTGGAGTGGGAGACAACTATGTTCTCCAACTTTGGTCATAAATGGATTTGCTTACAGAGGGGACCAGGGTTTGCCTATGATGAGACTGTTGTTGATGATTCCTCAGCTGCAGCTTGTAATAGCACCAGCAACACAAACAGCAGTGAGCAAGGTTCCTCAAGTATCCTTCAACAAGCATGGAATGAAACATTTCAAGTGGGTACCCAGAATGGGGTACAAGATGAGGTTGAAGACCAAGATACCACTAGAGAGAAAGTTGGGGCAGATGACTGCCTTGATGTAGAAACCCTTGTTGACACAGATGACCCTCTTGAGGTTGGAGCCATTGTTCAGACAGGAGATGGGATTGAGGTTGAAACTGTTGTCGAGGCAGGAGACCCTCTTGAGGTTGGAACAATTGTTGAGGTAGGAGATGGGCTTGGGGTTGAAACAATTGTTGAGGCAGGATATGGGCTTGAGGTTGAAACCCTTGTTGAGGCAGAAGACGAGCTTGAGGTGAACGACCAGGTCAATGAAGAAGTGAGCTACCTTTGGGCACGACTTGGTTCTGAAGAAAAAAGAACAAATTGCAAACGGCGATAGACCAATAGAACTGGAAACATTTCATGGTATTCGCCCACAGGCACATAAAAAGAAAAGGACAGAAGTGGATCCGATGAAAGCTAAAGTCAATGTTGCAGGTCATTCTGTAAGGACTCTTCAACGTCGTATACAGGCTGCTGAGTTTTCAAGAGACACAAATGTTCAGGTGAGTGCACATATGATTAAATAGATATGAAATATATTTGAAAACATATATATATATATAATTATACTCCAAGAGCTAGGTTATTCGAACATTTACTGCAACTCTGAGTTTCATGCTTCTTGCGAAGCAATCTTCAGGCAACAAAAAAATGTAAATGTTCGAATAACCTAGCTCTTGGAGTATAATTATTCTTAGCTCTAGCTCTGCTATTGAGCACTTTATAGTAGATGAGGATTTCTTTCCACTTGTTATTCTTTTTTTCTTGCTAGGTCGCTGTTCTTAAGAAGATTAAAGAAAGAAACAAAAACGGACGTTGGTGGATTAAAGCAGATGCATGTGACCTGCGAAAGGGACTGCGTGAGTCAATGCGTCATGAGTGGGCAGGAGATTGTGACCTGGGAGATGGAAAGCTTCAAACTTTATATCAGGAATACATGGACAGAAAAACCTTCTATGGTGGATTAGGACTTAAGGATCGAAGAGTAAGAATGAAAGAAGATATGGCGCTTGTGATTTCTGGTTTGGATAACGATTTAAGGTTTCTGGTTGGTGGAGAGAAAGCTGCAAAAGACAAGTATGCAGCTAAACAACGTCAGTCAAATGCTTCTGAAGATGGCATGTTTGCATTGGCTTGGGAGTGTGAATGCTTCCAGACTCTCATTAACATTAACAAAGACCTAAAGTCTTCAATTTCCAGCCTGCACTTAAGAATTTCAACAAACCAGAGAGATGGTAATATTGCTGGTGATCTCACTTCTTTACGCCAAAGGCTTCTTTCCTATGCTAAGGATCTTTTTTCCAAGCATAGAGAAGCTGCCTCTCATCTCATGGTGTTCATGATAGCCGATGAAAAACGCGACATGAAGCCCTATGCTGTTCCTGTACGATTTATACCTTACCACAGTGTGACTGACAATAAACTGCGTGAACTGTGTATGGAGCTACGGAGTGCCATGGTAAATTTGGGAATGCTTGTGGTTGGTGAGTTAAGATTTTTCTTTAATTGTCTCTGTTAACTACCTTAAGTTTATACAACAGAAAGGGGCTGCTCTGCTGCTTAAAAGCCACCTTTCTCAGACCAGACTGGCATAGCGCTGAGTATATTGGTACTTTTAGAGTGCATAGAGCCTGTTGAATTTTTAAATAATTGTCATTTTTTTACTCAGCAACTGAATGGTGATTTGCATCTTCACCCGCCCACCCCCCCCTCCCAAAATTGTAATTTGAAATAAGCCAAACAACAATTTATTTATCTGATTTTTGTTTGTTTTAGGCACTGTCACAGATGGAGAATTTAACTCCATCCGCACTATGGGATCAAAAAGAGCTATTTCCATAATTCAAGTGATGATGGATTCAAAGTCAGAGGCTAGAAGCACCAATGTTAATGCCATACGGAGGTATTTCACACCAGTTGCAGTCCCAGGTAACTTTTCTTTAACTGATGTTTTATCTATGCCAAAATCTGACCACTGGAAATTCTTCACTATCATATGTGTGTGTGTATGTGTGTGTGTGTTGTAGGTGGAAATGAAATTCAGGTTAAAATGATTTCAACCTAGATTGATTTGAATCTCCTTTGTTTCGAAGAGGCAATTCGCATGTATTTTAAAACCTTAACTTTTCTTCCTAACAGGTGCCAATGGGACATTTTCTGTAAGAGGTCAGGCTCAACACCCAGCCATTCCGGTTGAGGACATTGTATGGCTTTATGACTTCATGAATGCTGATGGCAATCAAGTACCATTTGAAAGCGCCATCCACATTTTAAAACGGAAGCTGTTTCCTGCCAATTATGACCCTTATCCTTGGGATGCAAAAAGTATATGCTGTAGTTTGTAATATCTTTCTTGTTTTATGAGCACTATTACCCTCAAATGGTACGGCATGAAGTCCAACTACTAATTTAAAATTGCATATTAAATAACAAAATTTAAAAATGAAATTATTATTACATTAAATCTCTGCCTGTGCACGGGCTGTTATAGAGGATCAGTAGGGCCAGTTTATAGGCTACCCATGGCCTAAGGTGCCATGTACTGTCAATGTACCTTTCAGTTCTATTTATCATTTATTTTCAATTGTTTCTTTTCCTTTAAACAGTGGCTGAAGAGGATACCAAAGGTTGTCTTAAGTCTTTGATGGCAACATACTTGTTCCGCTACAAAATAAAACGAATGAAAGAAGAATTAAATGTGGACTTCAGCAAACACCTTTACCAGCCTGAATTGTGTGATGTCACTGGGGAATACATACATGAGAGAGAAGACCACAACCATGTTCTTAAACGTATCACTGAATGTCTTCGTGCAGGTGAAATCCCAGGGGTTGACACCCGCTACTTCAGAGATGCCCTGCATGATGCTCATTCAGGTTAATAACAATTATTTGTGTTGTGTGCGTAGTCTATTAAAGGCCCTTGTTCATCCAAAATGCAATGTGCGCCCAAGCTTATTTTTTGCACTGATGGAAAATCTAAAAATTAACGTTCCAGGCAATCATAATGCTACATTGAACAATTGAACCTGTTTTAAAACAAAAACACAAACACACACAGCAGATTGGGTGAACATGTACCTTTAATCATGATGTTTTGATAATAATGATTCATTTGACCCCCTCTGGGTTTAAATGAATTCTTGTATTCATACCTGTGTACTACAGGTATATTGATGACATAGAAAATGGCATTCTGACATTTCTTGCTTTGATTATTTTTTGATAGTTCGTGAAAGGGTTAATAGCCTTTTTTTTTTTGTCTTTTCACATTATCCTTATATGAACTGATGTAATTCATTCTAATAATTACTATCCCTTTAACTCCCAAGGGTGCCAAAGAAAAAAAAATTCAAGAAAAATACCAGATTTCATTTTGTAAAATATTGAAAAACTAATGTTTCCGTAAAAATGTACTGCTGAAGAGGTTTCATTTGAATGGTCACACCATACGATTTTGTCCACAGACTCAAAAGTTAGAACTAGTGCTTTACATGTCTCCATAATTATTGACTGTGGAAGTGAAAGGGTTAATATTATTAATGTTCTTGTCATGACCATGACAACAAAATTGCTTTGACCTACCACATGTACATTTTTTTTCTTTCACTGAAAATTTCTCCAAAATACAAAAGGAATTTGCTTACATACAAAATATGTAATTGAGCAGTATTTAAAAAGGAATATCAAAAAGTTTTTGGAAGCCTCAGCAACGGCATTTTTTTTTTAATACAGGTTTAACTTATGAGGCTTTAACTGGAAAACAGAAACAGTCAGTACCACATTGTGAACAGGTGTTTTCAAAGGGTGTACTGGAGTTCATGCAAAGGAATGGCCATACTTCAGAGGCACACTTTGTTGAAACTGTTCGAAACTGGCATAAGGCGGCAGATGGACGGGGACTATCAGAGGAAACACGGTCAAAGTATAACAATGACATGATCAATTTTCTGTTGACTGATTGGATGCCCTGGCATGAGTACGAAAGGGACTTTTCAACTATTGATGTCATGCGCCCTATAAAGGGTATTAAAGGTTTCACTAGAGAAATTGTGGTTGCTTTGATTGCGAACTGTGAAAGCCTTGAACTCCGTCGAGCAGAGTATCAAGAGAGGTTTGCCCCGGAGCACCCACGTGCAAGCAGCACAGATGACGTTGAAGGCTTCATTGCACATCTCCATGATCAACTTGGAGATGTGTTTGACCACAAGGAATTTTTAGAACAGCAACCCAAAATTCTAAATGAGTTTACCAAGAAGATAGACCCAGAGCTTCAATTTTACTACTGGACAGGACACCGACATCGATTCACAACTGCCCCACTGCCTTCCTTCAATGATGCATCAGGTCAAACAGAAAGATTGGACAGGGTTAGGTTGTCAAGACGTTCTGATCCAGGGGTTTTTGTGGCAAATAGGGCATCCTTGCCACAAAGAAATTCTCTGACAGTCAGGGCTTCATTTCACAGAGCACCAGAACAATTACCTCCACCACCAACAGTGTAGCATAAGTTTATTAACTTATAGTTTTGCATATTGATGTTAGCCTTAGTAAACTAAAATTGGGACAAAGATAATGCACTTTTCTAACTTATTTACATTTACACGTGTAAAGTTTTACTGGACTTTTCTTGAGGCCCTGACAACTTTGGAGCTCCAGGGTCCCTTTTTAGTGATATTTAAGGTTACATAAAAGCCAACTAACAAGTAGTTTACTCTAAAGCGAATGCGTGCAACAGTTACTTTGATGTTGTTTCTTTCAATGATAGGGTGTATGTCACTTGTTAACTCTTTGGCAATGTAACCAACTTTGTTCCAACCACTACCACAGTTTATTAATACGGCTATTGCATTTTGGTCATAATCATTTTCAGGCTCTGGTTGGAGCTGCGCTTGTACATCTTTGTTATTTTCCAAACACTCGTATGCATTTTTAAGGATAATTTGTCGTCCTTTATATGCAGTACCAAGTACTTTGAAAGGAACAGTATGCTCAATTTCTGAAGAATCGTTCTCCTCATTTGAATCATCAGAATCATCAGCATTAACAATTGAATGATCCTCCGGCTCTACTGGTTCAGACCGTCTAAATTCCCAAATGACCAAATATGTGATGTTTTCAACCACAATGTTACACCATTTTTGAGCAATGATTTCATCTCCACATTTTGTCCGTCCACTGTCATCAGCTTGGAATAGCGCAGGCCACCCTGTCCTTCTACCAGTTATAGAAACAGTTCCTTTTACAAATTCTATCGTCAGAACAGGGAATGACGGAATAGTCCACTCAATGTTATCTTGTCCAAGACTTGAAACTGTTAATGCCAGGTCTCTAGGCTGCCACAAACCCTTCTACAGAAAAATGGTTGTAATAAAAAGCATTCCTTATAGAGTACTAAAGTGATGACGTCATAAAAATGAAATTTCTGAAATTATGGGATTTGTCAGGGTATTCTGAAAGAACAATGTCCAAGAGACCTACTTGCCAAAAATGAGCATTTTAGGCAAATTGTCTCTGAGATCGTAGCCCAGTTATACTCAGAAAACTCCTACAAACCCCCTCTAATTTTTTTTCTTGGGTCGACCCAAAAATATTTAGAAGGGTTTGTATGGAATTTTGTAAGCATAACTAGGCTACGATCTCAGAGACAATTTGCCCCAAATGCTCATTTTTGGCAAGTAGGCCTCTTGGACATTGTTCTTTCAGAATACCCTGACAAATCCCATAATTTCAGAAATTTCATTTTTATGACGTCACACCTTAGTACTCTATTTCATGCTGTATAAGTATTAGTATAAATTATGTAACTAAGTGCACTGCATGTGAATAGCTGTGATGAGCAAGCTTGTTTAGTATATTTCAATTAATAATGGTGTCCTTAGTTATTTTTTGTCTTTCTTCAGTTCTTTTTGGATTAAAGGAATGAAGAAGGAAGCATTTTCTTGAGAATTAGTTATTTGTCACATTCATGTGGGATGAACTGAAAAAGGCCAATGTTATAGCACATTTTTATTCCACAATAGAAACTAAATGATTGTAAATAAGCCACTTCTAAAAACAACACATGGTCAAGAGTTTAGAAGGTCACTTGAGACTTCTCAGTATTTTATCTGTAATGTTTAAGTTAAAAGTTTTTCTGAATAAAAAATAGTTTAAAGATGTGATGCATACTCCGCTTTATCAGTTAATAAAATAGAAAGAATAAATTAGTTGTTAGCATATAATTTACCTTGATGGGAAGTGCAAAGGTATTCCTGATAGTTGTGCTCTCCCTGGGATCAACATTACCCACAGCAAGGTTAACTGCATACTCATTTGAGAGAAGGCTAATATGATATTAAGTAATCAACAAAACACAATAAATGGATTATTTTCTATCTTTGAAAAGCTAGTTTTTTAAAATGCATAAAATGATTTTCAAAAGACCGTGAAACAGTTACTAAGTTAGTAGGCACTAGTACACACTATTAGACATTAATTCCATGTTTTCTTTCTTTCATTGTTTTCATTGTTTTAGCTAATTTTGGCTAATTTTGATTAATTGCTAGATACTGTTTCACGGTCTCATGAAAATCACTCTAATGAAACTGTACAACAACTGACTATCTGATTTTACACAGTTTTCAGCACACCATCAATTCAAATCCAATTATTGTAAATTATTCCATGTGAATGCCATACAGCAAAAATTCTCAGGCTACTTTTTAAATACTTAATTTCGTTTATGAAAATATTTTTTTAGAATAAGAAATTCTTTTAGAATAAGAAATTCTCTCGCCCAGACAATCATAGCAGATAAAAACAGTGAGCAAGAGCACTTATAGTGAGTAATTATAATTACTTAAATTGGATACATTCCACAAGGGTTCAGAAAAGCTTCCTTATCTGGTGTTTGTCCCCAAGGCGTAAGTGGCATGGTTTCTGCATTTATAGGATTAATCACTGTCTGGTGACGAAATATTGCCTTGGCCCTTTGAAATCCACTACTGTAGTCTGACGGGGCAAATCGATTTCTCTGTAAAACAGCTAAGAAATCTGTTTTTTCTTTTGTCACGAGCTTGTGGGCAGTATGGATACCAATGCCACGTACATTTTCTAAGTAGTCACAACCTGCAACAATGCACATGTCCAGGAATTCTTCCTGTGTCAGTGACAAATGTTGCAACACCTTTCCTAACTCGATTACTTCACACACACCATCGAGTCGCAACTTGAACAAAACCTATAGATAGATAGGGAAATTAGGGGTGTTCAGGGAAAACCCTTCCTTATTTTTATTCATGGTCTTTTGTGTTCAACGGAGAAAACCAAAGGTAATAGTAATAATAGTATATGCATTTATATTGCACAGGCTTCATGAGTATACCTGTATGATCGCCTGCGCAAAACATTGAGTTCATAAAAATAAAAATGTATACAATTTATAACTAATTCTAAGTGCTACTAATTTCAAATTGATACTTGTACAAATTAATAAAATTGTATAATCGAAAAAAAGAACCTAATGACAATAAAAAGAATAAGAAAATGATTAAAAATTACAGAAAGCCTCTAAATTTTTTTTTCAGTAAAACCTTTAAAGTGTTCAGAGATCTGCTGCTATTTGCAATTGGGTTCTAGTTTATGAAATTAATAGTTACGATATAAAAAGGACTAAAACTATAAGCTTATAGTTCATTCTGTTGAAAATCAAGTAAACACAGCCAGGCTTTGAATAAGCATTTGGATGATAAATTGTATGGGTTATTCAATGTACCTTTTGGCATCCATAAGCAAGAAGGTCGGAATCCTCTGAGATTGCAATATCTACATAGCATGCTCATAAAGTAATGCTATCTCTGCATCAGCCTCGTACGGAGCTACCACATAATCAATAGACTTTTGTCGGCAAGTCTATAAATGAAAAGAATAAAAAATTATCTTAACGAGGTCATTCAATTTTTAATTAAAAACAATACAATATTTAATTATTAAGAAGTCTAGAAAAAAATGTATTTTAAGCTTACTGAAATGATAAACTTTATGCCAAAATTGAGACTTAGACTTACTTGAATAAACCCACAGACGAGATCGTGGTTAATTTCTGCAGCTGCAGCCAAAGCGTTTCTTGCCTCAGTCACCTTTCCACTGCGCCGAAGTTGGTCAGCTTTTTGCTGTTGTTGTTTTCTTTGCCTAAAGGAAGAAGATTTATGGGAGATCAATGTCTGCTGAAAAAAAATCATTTCTACTAAAGAAAATTAGACAAAAGGCTTAAATATTTGAACTGAGCTTCAACTGTCAATGCAAAAAAATTCTCTCACATTGCTCTGTTATCACGCTCTCTGTCCTTGCCCGGTAGCGGCAATCCGTCGAACACGACCAACGGTCGAATTTTATTCCTTTCCAGTAGATCCAGATAAGAATTGCAGATCTCCTTCACTCTAAGAAGTAAAAACATTAGTTAAAATGCAATACAAATTAAGACATAGTAAAACTTTCATATTAAAAGTTCTCACCTTCGATCGTCTCCGAATTGCGAATAACTGATCGCAATGGCCTTGTGTAACCAACAAGACGCATCTACGGCCGCCACGAGACCTTTAAAACTGTCTAAATAGCTGTTTTCAGTGACGTCTTTCAGAAAAGGAAGCAAGGTTTTAATTCCCATTCTATTGTCTCTGTATGTGCCAAGAGCTCGCTGAGATGTTCACTCGCTGGTGTCAAGCGAGAAATGAGCGCCGCCACATTTTTACCACATTTTTACCCATCACGTATTGCGGGTCGTGACGCACACCGCCTGGCCGACCGCCGACCGACCGTCCGTCCGCACCACGGGACAACCAATGTTTACTCTCACACTTTTAGCTAGTTTGGGAGCCTAAGAGAAAACTAATTGCACATCAATGTTGTGATCAATTGACAGCTGTCAAAACAGGGCATCCGCTGACCAGTATCACCAGACCGTAGCGCGGGCTCAATTGTCGACCCATCGAGGTCGAGTATTTTTTTGAAGTTATCCGCTGACAAATTACCAGTTTGAAATGATCGCAGGCTCAAGTTTATTATTTCCAAGGATTCATATCAAATATGTTGTGTTTATGTCAGTATGTCCCCGCGCTATTAGGATTTTGATTTCAAACTGAAGCGAAAATTCAGCCAGTTTTTTTAAAGTACAGGCGGGGAAGACCTTATCTTACCATGGTCACGCGTTGGTCACGCTCTACGTCCAATTTTTATACTCTGATTGGTCAAAATTTGACAGGTGAGTTCATGCGGAAAATTTATGCAGCATCTTGAAACTTGTTTACTTTGACAGCTGAAGCTGAAGAGTTTTGTATCAACTTGTGATGTTTTTAACTGTCTTTTTCCACTGGATGTACAAAATGAAATACAGCTGCTATCAAGAGTCTTCTGTTATTCATGGCTGGTTTGTTTACTGGGTTTTTGGTTGAGAAACGCGTCGCTTGTCAAAATTTGGTAATTCGATTTCGGATGGCATCGTTTTCGTGTTTCACCTTGCTTAATGCGTAAGAGGGTTTAAAAGTCTCAAGCAACTGTGGCCTTCCTTGATAGCTTTCAGGAACTGAATCTCGAATGGTAAGCCTGAGTAACTAATGTATTTGATTTTTGTTTTTGTTATATCTAATTTCATGAAGTCTTGCACAGTTCACGCTGACAGTTTATGCGGCAAGTTTATGCACGTTTGTAGCCGTAGTTTGAGTCAATGATCTGACCTAGTATCAGGTTTGAACGGTTTGATATAAGCTTACAGAACTTTAAAAAGCCTTCAGATATATTTGCTCACCACAGATAGAAAGAAAACGTTCCGAAGAATATTTAGTTATAAAAATTGGCTGTAGAAAGAAAACTTTGAGCCATTTTCTTGCTTCGAGGAGTTCACCTTGGAAAACAGTAAACACCCGCGCCGGGAAGCCGGCTTATAAAGCTTCACGCCAAGACTCAGGATTTTTAGAGACACTTTATACTTGTCTTCATCAATGAAAATTGTTATCTCTGTAAATGTTTCACCGAATTATATTTCTTTTTTTGATTGTTAGTAGTCTCTCTTGCAATTTTAATCGCTTGTCTGTGCCGTTTGTTTTCATCGTTCATGAACATCGCTTGCAGGAGTACTCAAAAATGTCGCGCGTGTCAAACGCTTTATAAGATTACACATCGTTATAACTGAAACCATTAAATAACAAAAAAAATAATAATAAATTCGCTATTACGTTGAAGCTTAACTCTATTAAAGTTCATTCAAACACTCGACCACACTGACAGCTCGCACTATAGAAACGAGAACCGGCTGGCCATATGGGTGATTTTGGAAATTTCTGAACGGTTTCGCTTTACGATTGATCGTCCTGAATATTGACTAAGTGCAATTTGTCCTGAAAAATTGTGAAATACTGCATTATGTCCGAGGTCTGTATGATAAATAGTACTGTTTCACCTCAAATGTGATGCATAAAAATTATAAAAGGTTGGTTTAAACACCCCCAGATTTGTTGGCAAGAATTTGTAAAGTAAACCTGTCGAACGCAAAAAAATTTCGGCGTGATTTGTTTTCCAAGAATTTGTTTTCGAGGCCTAATCTACTGTGATCTTGAATGTGATCGAAGATGTTTGCTATTTTTTGGGTGTACATATAAGGTTATCAATTCGATGTAAGATGTTTCACTCTAAAATAACTTAGCCTTTCCCTCAAAAGTCACATGAATGTGCCCTTAAGTGAAATGATTTGAGGATTAAAAGTTTATTGTTTGATTTAAATTATAAATTTCTTAATTGGAGCTTCGCTTTTAGCCCTGGCTAAATCTATGTATTATGGTATTTTCTGGAGTGGTCAATTGAAAGTGGATTGTGACATTTTGGACAGGTTCCTGTCAGTCTCGATCTTCGTCGCAGTGTGAACAGGGTTCACAGTAGAGAGGCACGTATAATCTACAATTTACCTAAGGATATGGCTTCGGAGGACGTGCTCAGTTCAGTGGCCCACCTTTTCTTTTTATTATAAGTTAGATGTTCTTAGACTTTTTTATAGGGCGCATAGCAAATCCTTACCTGATATAATCTATGAGAATATTGGCCAAAATCGAGTTAGCACTTTCTTAATTCGAGACCAGAACCGTCTTCTCGCAACAATGTACGAGTCAAATGCAAGATACATGAAAGATTCTCTCTCATATAGAGGTGCTTCGTTATGGAACTTTATTAGCATCTGCGACCCTGAATTTTAATCAGCTCAGGAAGCGTGTCAGCGCTGAGGATTATTTTATAGATTTCAAGGTTGAATGTTCGTCTGCATCTGCATGCTATAAGATGCAAACAACAGAATTTTATATATTACTGATCATTGTGTCCCTATAATATATAATAATCATAGATTTAGCCAGGGCCAAAAGCAAAGCTCCCATTAATAAATTTATAATTTAAATCAAACAATAAACTTGTATTCCACAAATCAGTTCACTTAATTAAGGGCACATTCACATGACTTTTGAGGGAAAGTCTAAATGATTTTAGAGTGAAACAAATCTAGTATAGAGTTGATAGCCTTATATGTATACACCCAAAAAATAGTCTTCGGTGACATTTAAGAGGAATAATGGCTCTTGATCACAGTAGATTAAGCTTGGAAAGCAAATTCTTGGAAAACAAATCAGGCCGAATTTTTTGCGCTCCACAAGTTTACCTTACAAACTCTTGCCAACAAATCTGGGTGTGTGCAAACCAACCTTTTATACTATGTATTATGAGGCGCTGTTTTTATCATACAGACCTCGTACAAAATGCAGTAGTTCACAATTTTTCAAGACAAATTGCATTCATTCAATATTCAGGACCATCAAAGCACGCGTGGACCTTTAGCGAAACCGTTCAAAAAATTTCCAAAATCACCTATACGGCCAGCTGGTGCCATAGGTGTACGGGCCGGGGGGCGAGGGGGGTTGCAGCCCCCCCAAATTTTGGGCAACTCAGTTTTTTTGGGCAGCAAGAGAAAATTTGGGCAAAGCCAGGTTTTAAAGACGTTTCCATGTTTTTTTTTTTATATTATTTTGAAGAGATAAATATTTTATATTTTAATCTAACAAAAATCCTGACGTCGACGTAATAATCCAGTTACATTCTCTCGAGACATTGGTTGCCTAGCACGTGATGAGTTTCTGGTTATTAAGAAAGGGCATCATACGTTGATTTACATATTTATAGTTTTTTACTGTTGAGCATTGTACTGCACTGCACTAACTGGAATGGGCTCTTTCCAGTCGTGAATTGATTAGAATAAACTCCCGCATATCTTTCTAGAATCATCTTCTGCTCGTAGAATAGTGTATGGCAGATAGCATCAGCAATGGGTCTGAAAATGAAGAAGTGGCTGACTAGTTCTCAGTTCGATAACGGCCAAACATCAAGATTTTCCTTTTTTACCATATTTCTAACGATAAAAACTTCATCCCAAAATATCTCAATAACACTCTCACAGTTTCCGTTTTAACTTCGCGGACGTCGTGGCGACTACTTGAGGAAAAAGCTTCCGTGAACGATTTTGTAAGAACAGTTCCCTGTGCCGAGAAATATTACTACAAGTAATATAGGCAATGGCCGCGTCATTTCGTTGCTATGACAACTCCGATGTCATTGCATTCCTGATCATGACAAATTTTCATCTCTATCTAATAAAACTGGTGGCAATTTTTCCAAATGTTTGTCTATGGCGACGTAGTTATGCTCAGAATTGGGAGGTATTGACCCTGAAAAACTGTTACAGTATCGAGCCACCTTCATTTGCCAGTGCGGCCTATGTTGTTGCATCGTATGACCCTCGTTTCTTTTCGACTGTACATATCGTAAAAATTCGGGCAACTTGCGAGAATTTTTTGGGCAAATGGTTTACTGCCCCCCCTGGCAAAAAATTTCCCGTACACCTATGGCTGGTTCTAACTTTCGACAAGCGCCAAATTTGCAAGGAAATTTTAAAAGAGTTACGCTTCCACATGATAAAGGATTTATTGTGTTTATTTTTTATTAATGGTTTTATAACGATGTGTAATCTTAAAAAGCGTTTGATACGCGCGGCATTTTGAGTACTCCGACAAGCGATGTTCATGAACGAATGAAAACAAACGGCAAAGCGATGAAAATTGCACTTTTGAGACTACTAACAATCAATCAAGAAATATAATTAGGTAGAACATTTACTGAGAGACAACAATTTTCATTTACGAAAACAAATGAGTATTTAAGTGTCTCTAAGAATCCTGAGTCTTTAAGGTTAAAGATTAAGTGTATGTTTTAAGCCGCCGGCTTCCCGGTGTTTGCTGTTTTCAAAGATGAACTCGCGATAAGAAAATCGCTCAAAGCGTTTTTTCTGCAGCCAAAATTATAACTAAATATTCTTCGGAAAGTTTTTTCTTTCTATTCGCGGTGAAATATCGACTAAAGGCTTTTTAAAGTTCTGTATCAAACCTATGGCAGATTAGTGTCTCAACTCTTAATACAAACGTGCATGAGCTAGCTTCATAAACTGCGCTCGACTTCATGAAAGTAGATATAAATACAATAATTACTCAGGCTTACCATATTTCGAGATGCAGCTCCTGCAAGCTATCAAGTAAGGCCAGGATCGCTTGAGCCTTTATAATTCTCTTACGCATCCAGCAA